AGGAAACCAGGTTCACTTAGCTGAGACCAACCGTAGTAATTGCTGCTAATTCTTCGACTTCAAACAATTATTTCCGCCAACAAGACAATTGCAGCGCATGTGGCGGTTTCAGCAAGTCTGTCTGAGTGACAGAAGGGGAGGTGGGGGGTCAGGGGGGTGACATGGGCTGGATAATGGCCGTCAGGCTACCAGACTGGCAATTGGCCTTTCATCGCGTTCCTTAGTGGCAGCGGCGCGTATTCAGATACGATCTCAGAAAGTACCACATAGATGTTATTTCAAGAACCTCAGACGGCTCTTTTCTTTATGGCATGCTCTGTTATTATGTAACATATGGTCACTTTTTTTTTTCTTTCATAGAATCCTCCTCATTCACATGGGCACATAGGTCTGTAGTAGGGATGTCCAGATACCAGTTCAGGTACCAGTTCAGATACCGGTGCCAATACTGGGCATCTTCATGAGAACTACCAGGGTTGCAGCTGGGATCTGGCTCTGGCGCTCCGCCACTGTCCTGAAATCATTAGTCTGTATTATTTTAGAAAAACTGTCACATGACAATAAACAAAAATGTATCAGTACTTGTGTCTGTGAGGACTTGGGCAAGTATCAGTACTTGTACTTGCAAAAATGGTATCGGTGCATCACTTATATTTATAATTATAAAAACAAAATAATACATTAAAACAGAGATGTACAAATCCCGGGAGCTCCGTGTGCTCCTTACACATGACAGATGCCTCCTAACTTTTGAGTTTTTCTCTAGTCTAGTCTTGGAGTTGGAAAAGTATCTGTACTTGTACTTGTACCGAGTACGGTACTTGGTATCGGTGCATCCCTAGTTCTGTAGAATAGAATGTAAATTGTGGTCGTATTTCTATGCTCGGGCCGCCCATAGTACTGTATGGGTGTAGGAGGCTGTATGTGGGCTCACACTGCTACTTGCTTAATCCTGTGCATATGTATGGGTGTACAACCTTGGTACCCTAGATGCGTAGTAGGGGCGTATGGCTTTATGTATGACTTAGTTGCTACAAGTAGCACATAAGCCCACATAGAGTTTTATAAAATCTCAATCACGTGTGCATATAGGGCCGTAGAACTTGAATTGTAGTTATATTTCTATGCCTGGGACGTCCATAGTAGTGGATGGGTGTAGGCGGCTGTATGTGGGCTCATACTGCTACATACAGCCACCTACACCCATCCACTACTGTGGGCAGCTCTATGCTACAGCTGGGTATCCCAGGTGCAGAAATATGCCCACAATTTACTTTCTATGGCCACTAGCTCCCATTTACATGAGGCCTAATGCTGCATGGTGCCCACGGTTGTCAGAATACCCTAAAAGTGGCTACAGCTGATAGGCTGCAGTCACTGTTCAGTCAACAATCTTCCACCCGGGTGTTTCGACAAAAGTCAATTGAAAAATTGACTTTTGACAAGCCAGCAGCAGAATTGGTATGCTGACCTTTGTAACCAACATTAAATAATGAGCTTTCTTTTAGACATGTGACTGTGCCATCCCCTGGCCTACATAGTAAGCTGCAGCAAGGGAATTCCTTATGACTCCACCCAGCATCCAGTACAATTTGTGCACAGAGCAATTACAAAGGGGTGCTTGTTGCCTCCATATAAGAGTTTCTGTTTTCTGTTCTGTGAATCCTGACTGCTGTGTTGATTCTGACCCGGTTCTTTTTTAGCCAACTGCCTTAACCTTATGCCTTTGTTATGACTCTGTCTGAATGCCACCTATCCCAACCCATGTCTATCATCCTGTGCTGCCTGCGCTCCTAAATAAACCTCCTGCCTCTTTTTGGCATCATATATGAATGAAACATTTAGGGGGTTATTCACTAAAGAGCCGAAGGATCCAGCCATAGCTTCGGCTGATCCTTCGGTTCTCTTTGGCCGCCTGAGCCCTTCGGTTCAGTGGAACTGAAGGGCTGCAGTACAGGCTATTCACAATAGCCCGTACCGCAGCCAAAGGCGGCTGAGCGGCTCAGCCGAGCCAAAGGCATATGCTTCGGTTCGACTGAGCCGAAGTGACAACCGAAGCAGAGCGAACGGCCTGCGAAGGCTACAGCTGACAACCGAAGCAGAGCGAACGGCCTGCGAAGGCTACATTTGCGGCCGTTCGCCCCGCAAATGACAGCTGGGCGGAGCCAGCCGTGATCCCACATCTGGCTATGCCCAGTTGTAATGACAGATCAGCGTCCTCAATTAACCTGGGGATGCTGATCTGTCATTAGACAATAATAACTGGGTGGAGCCGGCCGTAACATCATGGCTGGCACTACTCAGTTGTTATTCATTGGCCTGGACCTGCTAGAAGACTCTAGAAGGTGGCGGCCAATAGGAAACAGTTGGGTGGAGCTAGCTGTCACTGTTATCTCCGCCCAATTTTTTTTTTACATTTATTTTTCTTTTCTTTAAAAAAAATGTTTCTATTTTTTAACATTTTAAAATTAATTCAGCAACTGTTTTGTTTTGTTCTCATTCTTTTAATTTCTTTTATTATTCTGCTCGGCACCTCGGAGGTGCCGAGCAGAATAGCCGAGCCGACTGCCGCTGGGCAGGTGAAAAAACTGACTCTTCTGTAAATCACCAGATATGGCCTATGTCAGGCAAAGCACAACCTTCAACAATCACTGCTGTGCATTGGTAAGTATAACTGATTGTTTATACATATGATTCTGGAATGAAGGTTAGTCTATCCAAAATGGACACTGCAGTTTTTATTAGATGCTTAGAAAGTTAAATAACCTGATACTTTCTTTTATCTCCTGTGGACCATATCGGTGAGGTCCCCCGAGTTATTGGGTCTAGGTACCTGCTGTGCCCATTATGAGGGACCCCCACCATCCCTCCAGGATTTCTTGTTTCATATTATTGAGAGCGTAACAGTAGTAGCTGGAACACACATAGGTGGGTGGACCAACCAAACCCCCCAACTGGACAGGAACACAGTCTGGAAGTATGGCCATCATTGTTGGAGTATCCGGGACATATAAGGAACCAGGCTGATGCTGCCCTCAACCTATAACTAATATGTAACTTTTGGGTGGGCGTATCAAAAAGATAGGAACTAAATAAGACACAATAACCAAAAACCTCTTCATGTTCTGAAGATTCAATAAAGTATTTACGCATGCCTCACATCCAGTGGGGGAGCAAAAAAGATGCCAATGAAGGATCAAAGACCATTCCAAAATGCATGAAAATAAAGCAGTCTGAAGTACTGTATAGCTACATGTTTTACTTGCATCATATTCACCCTAGAGCAGTGGGTCTCAACCTCTGGGTCATGTCCCAAAAGTGGGTCGCAACCCCCTGTTGATTGGGTCACCATGTGCCTTCTGCTGTGCTAGGTGAGAGGCTCCTCAACCTGCTCCTGGCACAGCAGTGTCAGTTCTCCCACCGTGCCGCTGCATATTGCTGCAGCAGCCACGGCCAGGGAGAAGCAGAGAGCAGGCAAGTGTTTTTTTTTTCTACATTAAGCCCTGTTTTGGGTAAGCAGGGCTAAATGTACAATGGGGGAGGTGGTCAAGAGATTTTGGCAGCTGTACAGCCGCATACATCAGTTGTAATTAGCCTGCTGCTCCGTCTCAACCCCCTACTGCCCCCATGGTCCACCCCCCTCTGCCGCCTAGGTTCCATCCTCCCAATTGTCCCCTGTTCTTCTGGGGACCCAGGACCATGGCAAATTACTTCAGGATGGAGAGCGGGGAGCTCCGTGTTAACAGTGAGACAGGAACACTGTACACACAGCCTTCCACCATCTCAGCTGTCACAGGAGTTCCATCACTATGCTGTGCTAGAACTTCTGTATTGGAGGTGACAGGTTCAATAAACGATAACCTGTCACCTCCAAATGCAGGGGTTTGCTGGCTCCTGTGCGATAGTAATAAAGTTAAGTGGAAAAAAAAGTAAAAAATAATAAAATAAATAAAAAATTGCTAAAAAGGTTTAAAAAAATGTATAAGAAATTACAAAAGTAAAAAATAAGATAAATAGCTAAAAAGTAAATAAACAATAAAAAAGTGATAAAAATTAAACAATAATACAATGAAAGTTATAAAAACAAAAAAGTAAAAAATAATAAAATAAATATAAATAAAACATTGGTA